CTGATTTCACAAGCTGCTGATGGTGAGGGAGGGGTGACCTTCAACCCTGCTAATACCTAAATAGGTACCTAACAACCAGCCTTCAAGACCCTTTGATCATTTTTCAGGCATGTCTAACCTGCATTATACCAGACAGGAGATGGGTGTTGAGTCAATCTGACTACTTCTGGATGAAATGGGGTAGAGAAGGTTTCAGGATCTTCACTCTTACTAACTTCTAGACCTCAGGTGTTGATCAAAGGGGCCAAGACAGATGGGGTTAAGCTGCCTTCTACCCTCCTACTCAGCTAAGTACATGAAGTTCAAAGAATAATAGGATCACAATGCACCTCAGCCACAGACATAGCACACTGTGGTGGAGCGCGCTCTGTCTCTCTGTCTCTCTGTCTCTCTGTCTCTCTCTCTCTCTCTGACACACACACACACACACACACACACAAACACACACACACACACACACCCCTTTGGCTTCCTTTCTGTAGATCCTGGCTGTAGAAAACAGATTTTGCTCTATGTAGTAGGCCATCAAGGGGAGCTTCAGGTCCTCGTGACAGATTTTACAACTTCCTGATGTCAGGAACAAATTGGGTGATCATTTGTTCCAGAATATTGTACCTCTAAAAGCAAAGGAATCAGTTAGAGTGGACATTTGTATGAGTTGCTATAAAAAGGCAGTTGGATGATTATTAGGTGCCTGGTCAATAGTTGCCAGCTTGGCATGACTCACTTGTACTTTAGCCCCTCAAGCTCACAGATATGGAAATGAAAGCATTCCCAGACACTGGGGATACCAGGTGTGGTAATCTATCTCGGGGAATCCACGAGGATTACTTCAGCACTCAGAGGCCTCTTAGCCTCTATCATGCATAACTCATTGTGCATTATCTCCCTGTAAATCATAACTATCTCAGACACACAGATAAGCTCAAAGTCACCTACTGAGCTGATGCATGTTTTCCTAAAGCCATCTCAATGAAAGATGTTAAAGACATTGAATGAAGTGTGCTTGCTCAGGGACACAATGATCTTTAACCTTGAGTTTTTAGTACTCTCCTCGCAACCTTAAATCTAAATGATACATTTCATAAATCTATCCCATAACATTGTACAATAAAATTCATGTGTGTGGGGGTGTGTAAATATGCACCTGTGAAGCAAGAAGTTAAGTTTCTTTCCCACATTATCTCTCTCCACATTATTGTTGTTGTCCTAAGACAGGGTCTGCACTTGGCACTCCCTGATTGCCAGACTGGCTGGCTAGCTCCAGGAAGCCTCCCTTTTCCACCTCCTGTATTGGGATGGCAGGAACCCATTGCCTCTCAGTCCTTCCTACTTTCATAGCACGTTACCCACTGAGCGCTCTCCACGGCCTTACAGAGGAAACTTCTCTAACCTTTACTCCCTGCTGTAAATAATTCCACCCTCTGAGGAAGGTAACTTAGAAAGCCACGGGCCCACACACTGCCATTTTAAAGATCAGAAGGCACAGCTTTCCCTTTGGAAGGCCATACCCATGTGTGGGGGTGTCTTATTCTCTCCCTGAGCATTTCTGTCTATTCACCCTTCTGTTTAGGATTCATGTTGAAGTGTCTGTTAGTAAACCCTGGCTCTGCTATATATTGGGTAACCTTGAGAGTCCTTTCTACGAGAATCCTGGCCTTGCTTTAATGGCAGCCCTTCAGGGGAACAGGAGTTCTCCAGGATGCTGTGGGTGATACTCTGGAACCGTGTTGTGCTTCTGCCCTTGCCACTGCTTACAAACATACCACATGATGTGGGCTAATGGGTCGTATGCCTTTAATCCAACAAAAGAAACACTTCATCACACAGCAGTGGAGACACACAAAAAATATTACGTGAATATAGTTATCCTCCTTTTGATAAAGACCCCTGGGTTAGGCTAGCCAGGATGTGGCAGGAGATTGGTGCACATACATACATACGAGGAGCAAGGGGCGGTGACCTGGGGCATATGATTCTGAAAACAAGGAAGATCTCGTCGTCAAAGGAAGTTGTACGTGGAAAGGAGCAGGAGATTCCATGGTCTAAACCCAGAGAGGGGGAAGTCCCCAGCTTATCCTGGTGGAGATGAAGGGAATATCACTGCAAGCAAGCAGGAGCATCAGACGTTAGATTACTTAAGGCAGCTGTACAGAGACAGACGGAGGGCAGACAGGTTTGCTCTGACCTTAGGCAGGCCCATGTTTATTCATAGCAATGGGGCACACTGTTACCCACCTGTGAGAATGAGCAGCACGCTTACACGATGGGACACAGCCCCTTACAGGGGCAGAAAGTACCACCACGTGACATCTGCCCCTGCAGCCCCTCCTTTCGGGAGCTGCCTTGCCTGGCCACAGGGAAAGCTGTCTCTTTTAGCGAACGTAATCTTTTAGCAGGAAACTGTTTGAACAAAGCAAAATCTCACGGGTGTTATAGCTGTTTTCTACTGAGGAGGGTTTTTGTCAGAGGTGGCAGTTTGGGGTCTGCTGAAAAGGAATCCTCTACTCATGTAGCAAAGGGGAGTCCGAATGTGTTCAGCTGCACTGCTGGGTCAGGCGATTGCCATCCTGTGTTCTGGAAGAGACTTGTAAAATAATTATTAGAGGGCTATAAGCAGATGCTTTGGTTATTAGAGGAAAACCCAAGAGATTCCCCAGGAAAGTTGAGGAAGAGGAAGGAGCAGAGGCAGAGAGAGAAAGGGTGGAGAGAGAGGAAGTGGGCACAGAGTTGATTCAGGGTGACAGTGACTGGCCCCATTGCCAGCTACACCTGAATGAGCCAGCAGAAGTAGCAGGGAGCTGCAGAGCATCAAAGGAAGGGAACAGAAGAGAACAGAGAACTAATATAAAGAATTGTATCTGGCCTGGGATAAAAGAAATGAAGGTCCCTTTTAGCCAGAGTTTCTCCACAGCATCTGGCAGGTCTTTTGGCAGATGTATCAGCAAGAAATGGAGTTGTTGGGGGTGAGAACTCTGGGAGAGCTTGTGTGAAGCATCCTGTTTGGGTATAGAGTGAAGTTCACTGAGTAAAGTACTTAGAAGATGGGGTGGAAAGGATAATGAGGAGTGAAATGATCAAGGGGAGGGGCAGAGTCCAAGGGAACCAGAGGCCCATACACAAGGAGGCTTATAGCTGAATTTTGTCTGGCTCCTGCCTCTAAGCATCATCTCAAACGGATTAGGATTTGTTGGGGGCTAGAGAGATGGCTCAGAGGTTAAGGATTTGTTGGCATGACAGCAGTATTGTTCACAGAGAAGGGCACAAATCTTGGAGTGCCACAACAGTCAAGGAGTCAAGCTGGCCATGAAGGATGTTAAGCTGATTTGAGCTGGTGAGACAGGTTTATGGAATTTATGGAAAAGAGAGTCAGTCTAGCTGTTTCAGTTCTGAGTCCCCAAAATGACGTCCAGAGTGGCAAGAAGAGGAATGAGTTGGATGGCCCATGGCCTAATAGCCCCCTTTTAGAGGTCACGAGCTGCTTTTAGGGGTTTGAAGGTGTTGATCGCTTGGTCCCTGCCTCATGCTGACAGAAGGGCAGACAGAGAGAAGCAGCAGTGAGAGTACGTCCATCCAATTGTGCCACTGGCTGGACCATGTGCCAGCACTCTGTGGAGGGACAAGGTGACCGTCAGTAGCTGATCGTGACATCAGACTCCTGTCGAAGGAAAGGGCACCCGAAGCTGTGTCAAAGAAGTCAGGGAGAGTCAGCATCCAAGGATGAAAATGAACACAAAGTGTCTACGTGATATTCCTTGCTTTTACAGAGCATGAACTTTGTGCATTTGTTTCAAATATTAACAATACCAGCTATCGTTTAATGAACAAAACTAGAGTATCTCAAGTAAAACACAATTTTTAATTAGAAACAATTTGATAAGGTAAAAAAAATAAATTGGGACTACTGCCTTAAATGGCCATATCTAGAATTTGAAAACATGACAATGTATGTGTTCTATGTATTCTGTTAAATTGCTATACTTATATTCCAGGATTATACTGTAGATATATTTTATATTAACAAGCTATAGAATGAGACAGTTCAATTCTAAATTGTATTGCCCCACAATAAATTATTTTTAATTTTCAATTAAAAAAATATTCTCACAGAGGCAGTGTCTGCCTTGCTTCTTCCTCACAGTTCAATTCTAAATTGTATTGCCCCACAATAAATTATTTTTAATTTTCAATTAAAAAAAATATTCTCACAGAGGCAGTGTCTGCCTTGCTTCTTCCTCAGTGTATAATTCTCTAGAACACAGTCTATGATTCAGTGACCACTGCATCAAGAGTAAATGATTCATTTTACAAGACTTTCTAAAATTAATCCTATTAACAGAACTTTTTTTTTATTGTGGAAAAGGTTTATTATTCTGTACAGGTTGGTTTTTAATAAGCTACTCGCTATTTGTTACAGTCAATTATCAACGATCTCATTGCAAGAGCATTTCCCCAGCAGTCAGAATCTGGAAGCAATTTGCCTTTTTCAAATTATCATTTAGTGTTTTTCTCCCCCACCTTCAAAACACAGAAACGGGTTTTTGAGTAGCAACTAGCCATTTATGGAAGCTGTAAGATACAGACAGTCATTACACAACAAACTACACCTGAGCACCTGGACTAACACTGCCAACACTTGTGAAGAAAGCTGTTGGTTTTAAAAGTGGAAGTACTGCAGGAGTTAGAATATACTGCTCACAGCCTTCTGAAACCCACATGAGGACCAGTCTTACCAGTATCCTGCCAGATGCCATAAACTAATACATCACACCAAGGATCAGGAACCAATGTGTGCAACACAGGGTTAAAGCTCCAGGTGACTGAGCGAAGACTGGAGGAAATTAAAATACCAAACTGCTTTAACTTATCAATACTATTTTGGAAGCATCATCAGAACATAGGGATTAAATTGTGAATTGCCCTGGGCTCTATCCTGGACTGAGAATTTGACTTAGTACTAAGCATCTTCAACACCCGAGAAGAGCTGTGCATCATGCTTTGTCACTCCTCACGGGAACCTGGGTAGGCTGATGATACCTCCACCCCTCCCCACCGTCCCGGCTCTACATACCAAGTAATTCAGTAATTAAGCAAAAGGGAGGAAAAAAGCAGACTTGCAGCAACACATACTAGACGGATGTTTTTGAAAATGACATGATAAATGTAAATCATAAAACCAAATGTACTCATGAAGGTACACCTATTTTACGTTACATTAAAAAAAACAAACTATAGACTGCAAACTGTGCATGTTTACCATAACATTTCACCTGGGAAAGTCGGTGAGGGGAGTTCTTGCAAATACTCACTGCCATGATAAAAACAATTATGTGCAAACTGCAAGGTCCCTAATAGCAGTTAAGAGTTTATATACAGAAAGATGTCACTATCTGATCAAATATGCAAGAGACGGACTTCCCAGAGTTTATAGCACAGAGCAATAACCACCACAGGCTCCTCCTCCGTGGCTCTCTTCCCTGTGTGCCAGCTTGACTCCTTTGTTCTGGTTTTCACTTTCCCACAGTCCAGGTGTCTGAATGATCTTTTCAACAATCTCCTCAAAGGCACACTGAACACCATCACAGGTTTTTGCACTTGCCTCTATAAACAACATAGAATGCTTTCGTGCAAATTTCAGGCCTTCATTTCTATCAACTTCACGATTTTCCTTATCAATTTTATTTCCAACTAGCATGTTTACTATGTCATTTCTTGTACAGTATGTTTCCAATTCGTTTAACCAATTATCCAGTTTAACAAAGGTGTCTCTTCTTGTGACATCATAAAGTAGTATAACTCCCTGCACACCTCTGTAATAGCTGGGAGTTAGGGTTCTGAACCTCTCTTGACCGGCGTATCCCATATTGCAAGTTTAGCCTTATTTCCATCCACTGAAATAGTTTTCACTTTAAAGTCAACACCTATTGTTGCTGCAAGTTCTGGATCAAAGGTGTCATCTGTGAACCTCAGGAGCAGGCTGGACTTGTCCACCCCGCTCTCTCTGATGATGAGGATCTTCAGAGTAGTCAGCATGTCCTCGTCTATCCTGCGCCCGCTCTACTCCGACCCAGCCCTGGGCCCCGTCTGCGATCCCCGGTGTCGGCGAAGGCGGCCTCTTAACAGAACTTTTTAATTTTTTTCTACATTTTCATTCCATGCACTCAACCAACAGTTGAATGATAAAAGCAGTCAGTCCTGTCAAGTCTGTAGGAAATACTTACCAGGTAACATCAACTGAATTAACAAAAAAGACCAGAGCCGACTCTCTCCAAATCTCCAGGTCACCACATACAGACAGCAGTAAGCATATTTCTTAGCATCATTCTATTTAAAAGGAGCTGGCCATTTAGAGGCATAAATTAAATTAAGGCAATTAAATGAGTTTTAACAAATGCTGGCTTTTAGAATTTCTTAGAAAACATCCACATGCTTAGCTCAACTCCCGAAGAACGACCATGTCTCTTTTTGACTCAGACGCTTTCAGTGCGGTGACCCCAGACTTCATAATAATGTACTGGCTTAAACCAACATCTGCTTCACTACCAAAGCCCTTAAACTCCTGTGGGCTTCAAGATCAGAGTGCAGGCGCTGGCCCTGGAGCTCTGCGTCTAGGCAGAGGCTAGGCTGTATTCCCAAAGCCACAGGTGATCCCAGGTTGGAGAGAATCTCCTCCATCTAAGTCCTCTCCTCCTGAAGACTCTAAAAGCTTAATAGAACCATTTGTTGACTCTACCGATACAAAACCAACTGTCAGAGACACAGCTGGGTGTTCTGAGTAACCTTCCAAAGCTGTAAGTTTGATGTACCCAACAGCCTCCTCTAACATGGATGGCTAGAGTGTGGATCTGGAATCAGCTTGTGTTTAGAGAAATAACTGAACGCCAGGGTAAGGGACATGAACAGTTGAACTAGCATGAAGGTCCTCTACCAATCAGATGGTGGCTTAAGTACAAGGTCACCTTGTTCAACAGCAGCCTCATGTGTCGCCTCAGGAGACACTGAAGGCAGAATGATTGCTATTTGCCTCTCTGTTGTTTGAGACATTTAGGGTGCAGACTCTGAAGTCCACCGCTGGGCAAGAGAATCCATCACTCTTTCGTGAAGAATAATTCATCTTTTCTGTAGATGAGGCAGGAGGACTTTCTTCTGGCTTAGCCTACAAAGCTAGAGCTGGTCAGGCCTATGTAGCCTGAGCTAGGAAGCCTACACAACTGGAGGCAAAGCAGCAGATTCCCACCAGCTCTTATATCCCATGCATCCCATTTCTGTAATGAGGCTAGTGAGCTTGTGCCCCATCCAAGACGAGAACTATGTGGACCCGGGGACATCCTTGTCATGCCAATGTATTGTAAGTTTAGGCCATTTTAATCAAGGGCTCAATCTTTTACAACCATTTTTAAAAATATACCTGAGTTTTAATGTTATTTTACATAAACTTTAAATTTAATCTTGTTTTTCTTTTCTTTTCAGGCTTAAGCTTGACAATATATACAGAATACTATAGGATGTAAGATAAAAGCTGGTCTCGCCCTCCAACCTTGTCTCTGTAAATAAATTATATCTGTACTGACTATGACTACAAACATAGTTCTGAGCACATTAAATAATTTGATCACTTATAAGGTAACTGACCATTAACTTGTATATCTCCGTTACCTTTAACAGCTTATAATAAATTAGTAACTTTTATAAAATTAATTTTATTCCTATTAAATTTGAGCCTTAAAAACACTGGGATTAACAATGTTAGCAAAGAGCCTGGATGGACTGTTATAACCTGAGGCATTCATAAACTCTAATCATCAAATGCATTGCATAGACCTTGTTCATGGTTTTGTTCTCATCTATTATTTTTCACTTTCAGGGAAAAAAGCCATCCCAACCCAAAATATCTTGAGACCTGCTGTTGTCTCCTAGATATAGGGAAAATGAAATAAAACAAACCATCTTGAAGGCCTGGTTGACTTATTAGTCTAAAAAAAAAAAGGTGATACAATGATAAGAGACTAACAGTTTTATGGGTGCTGCTTTAGTTGGTTTATACCATGAGGTCACCTTAACTAAGATGGCAATGAAGTCACACGGCACACCTTCCTTACCAAAGACTGTGGCAGAGTCACTTGGCTGCTGGGCCATCAGCCAAAATGGTGGTAAGCCATATGGTTGCTAACCACCTTCCCCACTTTTACATCTATTTTCCTAAACAAGAGTTAAATCCAGGTGACATAGATGGCATGCTACAACAAACTAAGATTAACTTTACATAAACTTTTAACTATCAACCCCTTTTTGTTACAGATTTTAAGCTAACTTTTTCTGCTTGGAATTTTACAGCCTTTTAAAACCACACTTTCAGTCTGGGGTAAATTTCATACTTAAGCAAAAGTCCTAGAGAGGGAGTATTTAGAGAACTAAACACCCGTGAATAGTGAATATAGTTAAACCTAAAAAAATTGAGGAAAAAGACCAAATCCATGACTGTCTGACTAAAGCAAGCTTTATTTTAGAGGTGCATCTGGGACTGGAGAGCCAACTGTCTTACCCTGTCAGGATTTTAAAGGGCAGCCCCCAATATGAGGAAGACAAGGTTTTTATATAGCTTACGGGTAGGGGGCTTCCAAGCGGGGGCGGGGGGAGTGGGTGTTGGCTGGCAATATAAGTGGAATTACAGGAGCAGAATATAAGCATAACAAGTTAGTTATCATACTCCCTTGAAACAAAGACATGGCTGCTATTCCTGGAACAGGCAATACAGAATCATTTATATTTAAGGCTACAGGTGGGGCATAGCCCAGTCCTTGAGAAGCACAGGTTTACTCACAAATAGGAATGAACCTTTTGTCTTTACTATAAGATGGCCTTTAAGCCTAATATGGAGGCAGGCTGGTTCTTCAACAGGTTGTCATTTTTTTTAGAGACAGTAAACAAAACCAAGAAAAGGAATGAGAAAATCAGCAGTGATCCCTACTGAATATAGTTTACCTTCAAGCTGTTTTTAAGAAAACAGTGTCTTTTTCTGGGCTGTTCTGTTTGCTTTCCTTTTCTGTCAAGAGTCAGTATTGATCCCACTGGGTGAGAATGAGACCACTACCATAATTTTAAGCGAAATTTGAAGCCAGCTTTATTTTATTTGGGTTCACCAGAAAGCTGGCCAACAATTGCCTCCTAAGTTGAGTCAAAGAGAGCAGGGCTCTTTTAAGGAGCCAAATCACAAGTAGTTGCAGAGCAGGTTTACAGATGTGAGGATGTTGGGACGATCTTTTTGTGCACTGTGCGAAGGTTGTCTTGTATTTTTCAAATGCTGATTTCTGTACTGGCAGAGGTCTGAATACAGACCAGAGTTTGGTATTATCATTCTTTTTTTTAATATTTATTTATTTTTATTTTATGTGCATTGGTGTTTTTGTCTATCTGTGAGGGTGTCAGATCTTGGAGTTACAGACAGTAGTGAGCTGCCATGTTGGTGCTGGGAATTGATCTGGGTCCTCTGAAAGAGCAGTCACTGTTCTTAACCACTGAGCCATCTCTCCAGCCCGGTATTGTTATTCTTATGGCTATATCATATTTTGTAAACACTCTCTCCGACACCTTCTGATTGATTTAATAAAGAGCCGAAAGGCCAAGAGGTGAGGCAGGAGATGATAGGTGGGACATCAAGGCAGAGAGAGGAACTCTGGGAAAGAAGCCAAGGTGGAAATCATCAGCCAGATGTGGAATAAGAAACAGGTGCTGGGACTGAGAAGAGGCAATGAGCCACGTGGCAGAATACAGACTAGTAGAAAGGGTTTAATTTAAGTTATAAGAGCTAGTTGGGAACAAGCCGAAACTCAGGCCAACCTTTCATAATAATAAAAGGGCTCCATGTCATTATTCAGGTCCAAGAGAGTCTCATTGTAATTGGCACCCAACGTTTATATGAGACAGTGGGGCAGTTAGGAAGTACAGAAAAAAATCTCAGCAACAACAATAACCATTCTGTAGTCACTAAGAAGGGAGCATCAGGGCATTCTCAAAAATAAGTCAAGGTCATGATTTGAGGCAGGTCAGATTTCAGGAAACAAACTTAAAAACAGAAACTCAGCTCTTACAGCGTATGGCAACTTATTTTTAACAATACAACAAAATGGCTATTTCCTTAAAAACGAAGTCAGGCAGGTTCCTCATCAGGTTGTCCGCCTGACCCAGGAAGGAGACTTTGGAAGAAACTTTTAAACAAGAATGCTTGGGTCTGGAGAAGGAAAGCCAAAGCCCAACTCCAGAGACAACCCTTTTAATATGCTAAAACAGCACATGACAATTTTTAATGTTTTCCATACCCAAAAGGTATTTGAATCTCTGTAAGACTAAACTCTGTGATCTTCATACCCGTAACCAGTTTGTGTGTGTCTGCAGATGGGGGCAGAAAGCCAGAAATGCTTTTTTGTCTTAACTATTAAAGATACCAGCAGGATTTCCCAGGTTTGGGGAGGCAGAAACACACGTAGGCCTAAAGCATAAGGGAAAAGAGGAGTAAGGCAAAGGAGTTCTATGCTATCATGAGAATTATAAAGATTTGAGTTTGGAGACTCAGCAGACACAGTGAGTATTTGCACTGGCTGTAAGCCAGGCCTTGAGAAAGAGGTGAACTGGGAGTTTTATTGGGAAGGGAGCCTCAGGCCACAATATCACTCTGTCTTATGTAGCAATTTAAGTCAATGTATGTATTAAATATCAAAAGTTCTGAATTTGGTCCCTCAGCGGCCATTTGTCCAACTTATATTGAGGCCAGATTTGGACCAAGAACTGAACAAGTAGACTCAGTATGAGCTTGGATTAGCCTGAAGCCAAGCTGAGGATATGTATTTTGGAATGGAGATTTTGGAACCCCTGGTGGGCCTGGGACCAAGGTAAAAATTGGGGTCAAATCCAGCCACCTGGAATTCCTCCCATGTCTGAGATTTGACCCAACAAGGATGAAACAAGTGGGGGGGGGGGGGGCAGCTCCACCCCTCCAAATTCCAGGTTTAAGAGGCTGCACAGCAGGTAAAAGATTCTTAGAACTTTCCATGTGGATCAGT